AAAACCCCAAAACCCCAAAACCCCAAAACCCCAAAACCCCAAAACCCCATGATGATAATTTATAGAAGAATAATGATAATTAATGAAAATTTAATTATATTATTAGGATGAGCATTTTGCATACACATAATATTTCCAGCAATTGAATATTTGTGCATATGACAGTAATTATTAATCATTATTCACAGTATTTTATGAATGAACTTTCCAGCAGAGCATAAATGATCATTTCACTCTATTGATAAAATTATCATCTGAGATGACTGAGAATTTGAAGTTGTCTGGATCGTATGAGTAATTGTCTAAATTTCCTTTAGACTCTACAGGGGTCTCATGCAAGGCTTCCTTTACAAATTCCTTATCGAAGAATCTGTAGTCTAGATTATTCCCAGAAAGTAGTGGAACATAAATCGGGCTAAACTCTCTATGTTCATAGGCTTTCCAATCTATTTTGGAAAAGAATTTGTGCTTTTTAATTTCATTTATATCTTTCAATCTTTTCTTCAAATCTTTAGTAAGCAATCTCCTTATCAAATCTTAAGCCTCTGAATTTGAGATATGATCGACGTTTGCCTCTTGATGAACAATTTTATGAAAGAGTAGTTTACGATTCCTATCAGTGAAGGGACCCTAAAGATATGTTAATAATTAAAGATTACTCTTCCTGAAAGCATTTCAAACATGAGTACTCCTAGACTCCAAAGATCAGTATGAGAATCGTATTTCTTATTTCTAACTACTTCGGGTGATAAATATTCCAAAGTGCCGCATACATATTAACCATCTTCTTCAAGCATGCCTTTAATTTTGATTTGATCTTCCTGGTTAATTTTTGCCAGCCCAAAATCAGCTAGTTTAATGTATCCATCTTTATCCATGAGCACATTTTCTAGCTTAAGATCTCTGTAATATTAATAAGATAGAATATTACCGATAAATAATTCCTTTTTTATGTATATACTCTAAAGCGAGAAGAATCTGAGCAGCATATTCTCGAGTTCGTTCAACATTAAACTTTCCAGATTCTTTTAAATGTACATATAATTCCCCACCCTCCATGAATTCAAACACCATATATACTCTCTTAGTGTTCTAAAAAGCATACTGTAGACTTACTATATAGGGATGCTTCAGCCTCGTCATGATTCTAGAATATAATTAAACTCAGAATTAATCATACTTCCTCTCAAGCAGAGCATATTGAAGACTGTCACTTTTGATTAGGTATTCTTTTTTCATAGCTTTTATTGCATAAAAATGATCATCTTTTTTATATTTGGCTTTATAAACCTTACCATAAGCCCCTCTTCCCACTACTTTAATAATTGAAAAGTCATCTAGCTTGACTTTATCTACTTCGGAGGTTCTATTAGTTGTTTTATTGTTTGAATCAGAGAGAGAAACTGTAGTTTGATTGGAGTTGTTTTAACTCAACTCAAGATCTCTAAAATTATTGATAACGATGTTATTTGATTCCTCCTCAGTTATTGAAATTTTGCTGATGTTGAAAGCTTGGCTCTCATATGCCATCTAAGGGTCTTTCTATAATGAAGATGTTAAGAAATTCCTTTTAGATTACAGGAGGGTGTTTCTGTAAGGCAATAGTACTTAAATTAAATTGCTTTTCAAAAGGTCTCGATTAGGATTTACCCATTTAGATAATTTATTATAATAAGAAATTAACTGTTTATACTATAAATAATTAAAATCTTACTTTGAAATTGCCTTAACTTACAAATATTTCACTTGAATTAAGTTATTAAATCAAATCTATCAAACCATCAACTATCATTACTCATATAAATACCATAAGCAATCATTTTTTTCCTATAATACATTCATATTTTATTGATCATCTATCATATTGAGTAGAACTTGGCATGAAATGTAAATTATCCCTAAATGTATTGATGGACCTAGCTGAATCCTGATTATAATTGTTTAGACATCCAAGCCGCCTTTGCTATTGTCTAGAGTAGATCTTGCCAGCTAAGACATTGAAGTCTCTTAAAGTTGCTCTTGGTGTGCTATATTCAGGTATTATGTTACTTTCACTCAGATTCATAACATTTGCTCCTCGGAATGTCAGAGGCTTGTCTTTTTAATCAAGCTTTATCTTATCAAGGTTAAGCTCTGCTAGTCTTCTAAACTTTAGCAGCTACTCCTTTATTACGGGATTAGCTGACTTTTTCTTTTCCTAACTTGCTTGAATCTGCTATGCTCTTAAATTCTTTTATTGCAGTTGCATTCTAATCAAATTCTCAAATTTCTGCCTTTGCTTCTGCCTGCTTTAATCAAAAGATTTCTAGATTTGACTCCTGTACCAGTTGCCATCACTGACTTTCCTAGGATCATTAGAATCTTCTTTTTCAACTGATATCTCCTAGATGCTAAGAAACATACTCTTGGAATCATTTTTATCTAGTTATATTTGCTTTGGTAATTCACTTCCTTCTCGCTCAAAACCCAAGCTCTTGCCCTCATTTGCAAGTAAATTAACTTCTATTTCTTTGACTAGTTTATCCCTTCTTTCAGTTCTAAGTCTATTCTTGATACTAAGATTACGATGCATTCGCTTTCTGGATCTCTGCTAGCTAATGTTCAGCTTGTTTTTGTATATTTTAGTCAGTTCCAAATCTAAATCATTAACTGATAAGTTATTATGCACATCTTTCCTCATTCATTTTATTATTGGCTGGCAATGAACTTAAGTGTCCTTAGGGTAATCCTATTTATAAATATTTATAGGCAGATACTTATATACCTCTTTAAGATATTTAGGGGGTCTTCTGAAATCAACTGACTATGGCAGTGTGCTTATATTTTTATCCTTAAGATCTGTATACAAAGGCAGCAACCCCTCATCCTTCTTAAATATTTTGATTTCTTAAAGCTAAACTACATTAAACTGCATTATTGGATCTCGATTTATTATTACATCGTATTTTCCTGTTTTGATTATGGTATTGCTGTAGTTCTAGCTTTTTGACTTTCCTTATCTTCATCTTTTCCTGTCACGATTCATTGGTTGAATTTTAAAATGGACTCTGTAGTGTCCCCAACCTATCAGCTAATGATTCTTAAGAGTCATATGACATTTTATATTTTAGTATATACTTTTAAGTTTTAATTTCACCTGATAAATTTCCAGTAATTCATTCAATTTTATAAAGATGGGGTTTTGGGGTTTTGGGGTTTTGGGG